ATTAACAGTGGATATAAAAACATCACAGGTCCAATTTATACGCGCAACCAGCTATACATTGGGAATACCGGTGTTTTAAAGTACAACCAATGTTCTTGATGTACATCAGGATGCGCGTGACCAGCAATGTGTCGTGGTTAGTAGATTCGGACTCGTTTGTGCGTGCTTCAAGTAAGACATCTGCTTTCTATAATAATCGAGCTGTTGATAACGTTCATTCACTAGTAAGGGCCTGTTCGTTTGTTCTGTTGTCTAACATTTGAAAGGGCAATAATTACATTAAGAGGTATATTGGTATTGGTGAACTTTTTCTTTTCTCTAAACTCTGAATGCAAAGAAAGTTGTTCCGAATTCTTAATTCTGTATTTTGAAAAATGTCAAATGTCCATTTTAACCCCTTATATGAGATGTTTTGTTTGTCTATGTAATTCAATAAACAATAATATTAAAAATTATTTTAATGATTAACAATTAATTATAATCACTATTATTATTTAATAATTAATGATAATTACTATAAAAATAATAATATTTAATTAATAATTAATAATTAATTTATTATTATAATTATTAATTAATAATTAATTGTAATTAGTAATTAAGAATTGATAATAATTATTATTAATTAATTAATAACTTTTTGTAATTCAATAAATAAATAATATTAAGAATGTTATAATGATTAATAATTAATTAGTATTTAATAATCATAATTATTATTTAATAATTAATCATTATTTAATAATTAATCATAATTACTATTTAATAATTAATCATAATTATTAATGCATAATTGTTAATTATTAAATAATGCTAATTAATATAATAGTTAATAATTAATATTTGATTAAAATTTAAGTTATAACTAATACTAATTAATATAATAATGAATTAATAATTAATAATTAATGATTGTGAATTAATAATTATTATTTAATAAGTAATAATAACAATAATAATAAATGAATAATTATTAATTATTAATTATTAATTAACTTTTAATTATAATTATTGTTATTATAATTAATAATTATTAATTATTAATTATTATTATTGCATATGAGGCCCTTGAGTTATAAGGAGGGAGAAGTGTTGTGGGTTTTGGGTAAGTTGGTGGGCAGTACGGAAATGAAATTTGTTATCATGTTTGGTATTAACAGGTCCTACGGAAAATAACGATTTCAAAACAATTCATTTAACTAGACAAGTATTACCCAAGTAAATCACTTTCCATTTATAGGAAAATTGATAATATATGATGAGGCAATTTTATCAATTCAATAATGACATTTTTATGAATAAAATAGTTATTATATAATTTTACTTGAAAAAAAGAACACAACCATTTTCTATAAAACATTTGCCTGAATAAGCACATTTAAAACATCTGCCTAAATAAGCACACTTRCCCAGGTAAATGAGTGACCGTGAGGCCTACAGAATTTTTCTATTCAGCCCACACAAATAAAAGTGCCACATGTAGACATAGAAATTGGGTTGGGTGGGTCAGGTTCAGGTTGGGTCTAGACACTTCGGGCTGATTTTGGKTTAGGTTGTAAAATGCAAAACCCAAAGCCTAAATGTTTGGGTTAGGGTTGACCCATGGGTCAATTGAGGTCATCCCAAAAAAATTTGAAATTTAAAAATAAAGAAAAAATACATGAAAAATGCCAAAATTAAAGTAATTAACCTTAAAATTCAAAATATAAAATAAAATAAAATAAATATTTGAACATTTAACAATTCAAAGAGTAAAGACTAAATAGTAAAAATTACAGAGTGGAAACTTCTAACAATGCATAAATAGTCCTAAATAGACCTGACAGTTGAGTCAGTGGGTTGACCCATGACCCAACCGAGCTCAATTTTTTTGGGTTGGATCGGGTCAGGTCACTCTCAAATTCAGGTAGTTAAATATAAGATCCTAACCCTATTTTTTGGATTGGGTTGAGTCGGATTCGCAGGTTGGGTCAACTTTTTGCTAGGTTTAGCCACATGTGATGAACCAAAAAGGTGAAGCGGCATACAAACAATGGCTTGGCTTTTCGGTATGTAAAGGACCTGACTAGTAGGGGTGGCAACGAGCCGAGCTTTTCATGAGTTGTTCGAGCTCGGCTCGTCTCAGTTTGGTTTCAACCGAGCTCGAGCTCGAGCTCGAGCCCAATTCAATGGCTCGATTTAAACGAGTCGGCTCGAATATATATATATATATATATATTTAATTTTATATATATATATAATAAAATTATAAAAAATAATATATATAATAAAAATATTATAATTACTAATTATTACAAATCTTAATTTTTTAAATATCAAATAAAAAATATTTTTGTATATAATTTTTTATTTTTATAAAATATTTTTTCTCAAAGTCGAGCTCAAGATGAATTTTTTACTCGAGCCAAACTCGAGCTCAAGGTTCTGGCTCGAACCAAGCTCGAGCTCGAGCCTTGTAGAATAGTCTCGAGTCGAACTCGAGCCTAGTACTATTCGGTTCGGCTTAGCTTGAATCCACCCCTACGTGACTAGAGACAGCATTTTGTGAATTAACCACATTACATTAAAGATGTTATATGTCTATTTATTTTTTCATTAGTTTATATTAAATATATTAAAAATGTCAGACATCATATATGATGCCTCATATTTGATTGATTCATAGTTTGCCTTCAGGGTGTAAAAATCGCACCACTTCAGATGATTTTGAAACCAAAGGTTCAAAGTGTTGGCAAGATGAAAAGTTCTATAAGCAATTTTATGAAATATATTGGGATATGTTTAGAAAAAAACTGAAATAGCTGAGACAAAAATCATACACACCTGTCACAAGTGAACATGCACACATGTTCACTTGTGATAGCCTGATAAGTAACCCAACCCAGTGTATACACTTTTGTCTCCAGCTCATATGGACTTGTTTTGGAAAACGCAAGCCATGAGTTATTGTGTATGTCTGCTTGATCAATTGTGCCTGTACAATTTTGTCTTAATCTAAGATGAAGAATCCTATGGCAGGGCTGACGTAAAAGAAAAGAATTAGGGTAAATTATAAAGACCCCCCCTTTCTACTATGGGTCTGTGGCAAAGACCCCCGGTACTTTATTTTGTGACAAAGAAGCCCCTGTGCTATGACCTGAGATAAATTTCCAATATATTTCCGTTGAAATCCGCAGTTGTAATGTTCCCATACTATTTTTGTAATAAGGATAATTGGGAGGAAAACACTACCTCGGATTCTTTCACATTTTTCTCTCTCTCCCGATTTCTCTTCTCCCCCTTCCCCTTCCCCTTTCTCTTCTCTTTCATTAAGGCCCAGGCTCTTTTCAATACAGCAGCTAAGTGGAATACTTGAAACTACCATTGCTTCACAGAAACCTGTTTATTTCCCCAACACAAGCTCTCTCTTTGGACTCTGAGCGTCTGTTCTTTTCTCGGCCCTGCACAGCCGTAGAGCCTTCAAGGCTCCCATTGTCTCCGACGCATCGATGTCCCATCTGCAACTGCTCCATCTCATTTGTTTTCTTTTTGATAGCTAACTTCGGATCCTTAACAGTAGCACAATTCAGAACAGCCACGCCTTCATCAAAAGGCTCAACTAGTTAGTAAACCAAAGCTAACAAAAAGCTCTACTCAAAAAGGAGAAAAAAAAGAGACTATTCCAAGAATAAGACGTGAATTGTGAACCCTGTCCTTACATAGGACCCTTCTTCTTTGTCTTTTCCTATCGTAAGTAATGTGTTCGCTAAAATGTGGCAACCACGAGCACGAAGCAGTGAATTAATCGGGAGAAAAGGAAGGTGGGTACCGAAGGTTGTGCCGTCCATTTTAAGGACGGAAATTCTCATAGCGCTGCCCATTTCCAAGTTGACAAGGTTGTCCACATCGGAAAGTGTGGGTTTCTTCGGGACGTCAGCGAGAATGGGATCATCTAAGAGGGCTGAGAGCGTTGATTGTAATCTAAGAGGGCTGTCATCAATGAGCTGGCCAATATTTCGTCGATTTTAGGATCGGAACCCCACCTCAGAGCCTACTCCTTGTGGCGGATACAGGCAGCAATCTCGTCTGGGCCAAGTGCTCTGCTTGCTAGAACTGTAGCAAACACCCTCCAGGCTCGGCCTTTTTGGCTCGCCATTCAACCACATTTGCTCCAGTGAAACACCAGCCCTGTAACTACACTCGCCTCCACAGTATTTTCTGTTATGACTACTCGTACGCCGATGAGTCTAGAACAAGCAGGCTTTTTGCCACAGAGATGACGACGTTGAATACGAGCTATGGAGGAGCTGCTCAACTGAAAAACCTTGCTTTTGGTTGTGGGTTCAACGTTTCTGATCCGAGTGTTTCAGGTGCGAGCTTGCGCCCATGGACTGTTTTTCTCTCAATTGTCTTTATTTTATGGTCATAGTACAGGGGTGGTCTTTGTCGCAAAACAAAGAACAGGGAGGTCTGTCACAGACCCCATAATACAGAGGGGTCTTTGTAATTTACCCAAAGAACTATGACTATGAAGCACCTTTTGAGTGTCGAATGCTCATTTAACCATGGTTTTTAGAACCGGTCAGGGGTCCAGTTACTGGGTTGAAAAAAATAAAAAATGATCAAAACTGTTCAAACAATTAACCACCCGGTTCAGCGGTTCACTGACCAAAATCAACGGTTTTGGGGGGAAATCCGGTTTTTGAGAAAAACGTGACCGGTTCCCAGTTTTCCGGTCCAGTCCAGTTTTGAAAACCATGCATTTAACAGATGTATTGATCAAGTCTCTTAACTGAACGAGCTCCATTTTTGGAACCTTGAAACCTTGCTGTCCAACCAGTTCCTCGCACGCTTCTGTTTCTAACTGGGTTCTAATGCTGCAACGTGCATGTTTCCAGCGTTGTCACTGCTGTTTGTTGTGTTTGTTGCAGCGTCCTCAGAAAAAAAGCTACCAAAAAAAAAACCGGATGCACAAGCAAGTGCAAGCTACAACTGATTTCAAGCACACTTTACGATCACAATAGTTCAAATAACCCCATCGCATTTTATTAAAATGTGGAGACGTCTTGAGGCTGGCTCTTGACAAGACTACATGCAAAGAGAAACTCCTCTTGTCGTATAAATCAAATAAGACCAAAAGATGGAACACAGACAGTATTTAGACCTCCAAATATTTGATGGCAGTTTGAACGTCCTTATCTCCTCGGCCACTGCAGTTAAGGACAACCTTGGTTCCATCAGGTAGAGTGGGGCATAGCTTCTCCAAGTAAGCCAAAGCATGAGATGTTTCCAGAGCTGGTATTATGCCCTCCAGTCGGGATAATCTTTTGAAAGCTGCAAATCCATGACAAACAACAAATAATATGTAAATATTAGAATGACAAGTTCATCCCCAACCCCCTTTCTTTTGGACAGGCAAAGATTAAAAGATCTGTTTCAATAGTAAAAGAAGATGCCTAAAACGAAACATGAACCTTATTTTACTTCCCAGACCATGTTACCTAACAGCTACAGCACTTAAAAACATGTACCAAGGTACTTGTGGAATCAAAGGAAGATACATATTAATTAAAGAAAAAAGGTCAAAGTGTTTAACATTCATTAGGAAAAAGCTCTTCAGAAGAGTAATAACCAGCCTTCAATTTCGAACGTCCATTATACAAATGGTTAAAATGCTAATAATATATAAATGCAGCTTCATAAACCCAGTTTGGGTTATGAAAATGGTTAAAATGCTAATAACAACATCCTTTTAATCTCCCATATGGTCTAAGTCTCCTTTGTTGGTTCTCCTTTACAGGTTTCTTACTTCTTCTCAAATTGAATAGAGGAACCTCAGTTTGAAGCTTGCTTGCTTTAGCGTTGGACTTTGGTGACTATCCAATGGATAGTCTTAGTCTCCTAGACTCTCAAAGGTRGGGATGGGACAGTAGAGAAAAAATTAAGAGTAGTTATCAGAAAGCCAGCCTATTTAGGAGGACTGAACTGAAGATTCAGCTAAACTGGTTTAGGCAATTATATAATTTTTTAAGGAATTTAGTCAAATTATATCAATGAGATTCCAAAACATCTCTTAGTAATGAATTGATAACTTTGTGCATTATATGATTGTGGATCAAAATTATAGTAGATGGTGCTCTACTCCTGCTTTTGTAGGAGGGTTAATCCTATAGTTAAATATATGATCACAAAAAAGAAAGGAATTACCATTTTGTTGGGCAGGCTAGAGGGAAATGGTCAATGAATTGTTTCACCCACAGGGTGCTTCCTTCCTGTTTGTTTGTATAGTTTCTTAATTCAAAGAGAGGGCAGTGGCCCTTCTTTCTAGTCCTTGGTGTAGCATTGCATCTGAGATTGATGGATGAATTTTTAGGATGAGTTGCACTTGTGCAAGAGGGAAACCATGAAGTTGATGCACAGATGGAGATCTCCTAAAGAAATCAGGATGCCATGGTTACTATAACCATTCAATACATTTTCCTTTTTTATTTTTGGGAAAGATAACTCAAAGTAATGTCAGATTTGAGCTTTCCCCCTCTATTAGGTTATTATGGTGCAATAGGACCCACAAACAATATTCCAGATTTGAGTTCTCTCAATATTCTGGGGTATCAGAGAAGTTACATTAGACGTACTTAAAAGGAAAAAGAATATTTTTTGAAGAATAAGAATAAAATCTTATTAAAACAAAACAAAGTACAATCAGGTCAGGTGTCTAGGTGACACCCCAAACCACATACATACACAAAATTCAAAGTAGGAAAATTAAACCACATTACAATTTTGAATTTCAAACACATCCCAGAAGTTATTAACAAAATCTGAATATCTGATATGTTTGAATTCAGGTAATGTGATGATCCAGCTTGTGACAAGTTTGCCCACAGAGGCCACAACCTCTTCGGACCTTCTTTCTTTTCCTTCAAACAGTCTCTTATTTCTCTCCCTCCACAACGACCAACAAATCGCAAATGGGATACAGCTCCAAGCAATCTTAGCTCTCAGGCTTCCTCTGTATTTTGGCCAAGAAGAGAAAATCTCTGCTGAAGTAGAAGGGTGGAATATAGGTACCCCAAACAGAAAACAATAGAAACTCCAGAAGCAATTTGGTAGCTGACATGAGTAGAATAAGTGGTGAACAGACTCCTCTGCTGATTTACACATATAGCAGTAATTTGCCAAATACAAACCCCCTCCCCTTCAGATGATCAATTGTGACCGAGTATAGAAAGACTTCACCATCTTTAAAGAGCTTCATATAGAAAGACTTAACTGTGAATCTTCCATCTCTACTCTTCTTCCACCATAGTCCATCTGCACTATCATTAGACACCTGAAACTGCTCCAGCCTGTCCAACAACAGCATACATTCCTCCAACTCTTCATTTCTCAAGGGTCTTCTGAACTTAGGAGTCCAAACCACCTTATCATCAGTTACTTCATAACCTTGGGCATATCTCACAGAGTTTCCCAACCCCACTCCAATCATCCTCCCAGAATCTCACTCTAGCCCCAGCACCTAATTTAAAGCTAACCAGACCTCTAAAGTCCTGGTTGAAGCTCATAATGTCCTTCCACACTCCTACTCCATATGCATTAGAAACCTCCCTTGTTTCCCATCTAAATCTTACCACTCCATACTTCCCTACTACTACTTTCCTCCACAGTAAGTCCCTTTCCTTATCCATCCCGAACCTCCATAACCGTTTCCCCAGTAAAGCCTTGTTGAGAAGTTTAATTCTTCTTAAGCCCAAACCCCCCAAAGCTTTCAGCTTACATACTCTCTCCCACCTTACTAGGTGCATCTTTCTTGGACCTCTCGCTCTTTCCCAAAGGAAGTCCCATTGAATCTTTTCTATCTTCTCAGCAATCGAGGTTGGTATTTTCAGTAGTGATAGATAACATGTAGGTAGGCTTTGAAGAACACTCTTTAGTAGGGTAACCTGCCTCCCAAGGACAGATATCTTGCCTTCCAGCCCTCCAACCTCATTTCCACCCTCTCTATGAGAGGTTTCCATGTGATTACAGATCCAAACTTAGCTCCCACTGGGAGACCTAAGTACGAGAAAGGAAGTTCTCCAATACTACAACCAAGGACTGCCACATACCTTGACACCTCTTCCTGACTGATATCACCAATAGCAATCAACACACTCTTTTCCAAGTTAACCTTCAGACCTATGAGCAGCTCAAAATTTGCTAATATTGCCCTTAGATTTAGGACTTAGTCTTCCACAGCATCTAAGAAGATGAGGGTATCATCTGCGAATTGCAGATGAGAGATGCAAGGACCCTGAGCTCCTACACTGAATCCTTCTAACCATCCCCCCTAGACACCCCTCTTCATTAAAAGGAAAAAAAATAACAGGATTGATGTAAGGCAACACAACATTTTGGATCATTAATTGCCCTTTCCCTTTAGTGGTAATATTTCTTTTATAATAAAAGTTGTAACTTATTAAGAGACTGGCAGGCAGTTTCTAGCTCTCATAGCTCAAGATCACCAAGGTTAGTTCAGTGGTTCCCACCAACAGCTGGGAGGCTTAAATTAAACTTCGATGGCTGCTGTTTGGGAAATCCAGGAGAGTCAGGAGTTGGGGGTGTAGTGAGAGATGAAACTGTTGAGGTTAAAGGGATGGTCTGATTTATTTTTGCTTGTTAATCTTAGTCTTCTTTTTCTTTTTTATTTTTGCTTAGCTTCATGTACTTGGCCTCTTCTTCCTTTGGGGTTGGTCTGATTTATTCTGGGTTTTTTCAGATTCTTAATGAATATTTTTTACTTGTTACTTGTCAATAAATAAATAAATAAAAGCTGTAATTTTCTGGATAATTATCAATTTCAGATTTGGTAGAATCTGCACCTAAAAGCTATTTGCAACATCTAAGTAGGGCTTTATTGTCTTGTGTTGTTTGAGTATTTTTCAAATGTTTTTGAACATTTTCAAGTAATACTTATAACTTGAATTTTGTGCAAATTGTTTATGATAGAAAGGTTTGGGTCTTCTTAGGATATCAGGGGTTGTAGGGCACATGGACCAGGTTGGCCTGTTGACCAGCTGAGCCTGACTGACCATCTTCAGATCAATGGGAAAATATAACTGTTGCACTGTTTATCCATCATGTATATTAATCATATACATGTACACACATCAACATGCTAAACCTTTCGATGGAGAAAATCTTAATGAAGTTAAACTTTCATCCATTCAATTTTCTTAAAACTAAAAGATTATGGAATTTCAGGACATCAATGTTTGATAAAAATGTTGAACAGAACTTTTGCCTTATAAATATACAACACAAATAATCACAAAGGTCATACTTTACACAGATTTCCAGAGGTTTATATGGTATAACAAAAACATTTGAAGGCTTCCAGTTTTCTCCCAGCATGACAGGATGATATGAGAACTTAACCTGCTTCATCTGTAAATTTGGAATTTGAAATGTCCACAAAGGTCTAGGATTGTAGAGATTACACAACCAATTTGCTTAAATGGTCAGAACCCACGCATTTCATGTCTCTTCAATCTTGACAGCAGTCTAGCCCCTCCTAGATATAGACACTTGAGTACCCTGAACACCCAGAAATAGATGCCCCATACATTGGGAAATTGTCTACAGTAGCTTTTATTAAGGTCACTCTACCCCCAAAAGAAATGTAGTTCCTCCTCCAAGCTGCCAATCTTTTTTCAAACTTTTCCACCACAGGGTTTCAAAACAGACTTTCCTTTGGGTTTGCACCTAGGGGAAGTCCTAAATACGTCAAAGGTCACTCGGAATAGGTGCAATCTAAGCAGGCAGCGATAGTCTCCAGTACCCCTTCATCCAAGTTCAGTCCAACCACACAACTCTTTTAAAAATTGATTTTTAAATTAGAGTCATTCTCAAAGAGAATGATTAGATTCTTCAAGTTTCTCACCTCTACCAAATCACAACCCTCACAAAAGATGACAATGTCATCTGCAAACTGAAGATGGGTGACTGGAATTCTATCTCTATTCTCCAACCTCTCAATGACCCAATCCTATCTGCCTCTGATAAAAATCTACTAAAAGCATCGACAGCCAAAGTGAATAAGAAGGGGGATAGTGGGTCACCTTGCCTTAGGCCCTACAAGCTGGGAAAAAATCATTAACTACCCCATTGACTAGAATAGAAAAATGGCAGGAGGAAAGGCATCCCTTGATCCATTTACACCATTTGTTCCTGTAGAGAAGATGGGCTGAATGGCCCATAGGCTGTTTATCCTTTTTTTTCTTTTATGTTCTTTACTGTAATGGGCCTTAATTTGGGCTTTATTCTTTCTTATGTTATGTCTTTTTAATTTTCTG